ATTTGGTGTAGGAACTTGCTTTAACAATAATTTACGTTGCGCTTTTACTTTATTGAGCTATTCGGAACTTATTTAGAACTTCTTTTTTGCAGCTAAAAAAGTGAATGAATTCTGCCGAAAGATATAGGAAACAAACAGTGAAAAACGCAGTAGTTACGATAGTTATGAAGCCTTGATCAACCAAACATTACTACCTACTAAGTTGGACAAATAGATGCTCTCTAAATTTAGTAGGTTTAGATGGTGTTGTAATATCTGTTTCTATGATATTTGCCATAAAAACTTTTTTTCTTGTCAATTAAAGAAGTGTCAGGGAAACGGTAAATGGAAGTCATCGAGAACGGAAGATTTTGTTTTTTTGTCGCCTAATGTAAGTATAACCTTCTAGATTATATTTTAAAGAAGCAATAATTATGAGCATTAAAAGATGAGAATAGTTTAGTTGTCTGAGTTTAATATTCCTTACACGAGTCAACTTTGTATCTGTACATACAACCCTGTGGACAATCGTTGATTGTTACAGACTGATTGGGTCCAAAAACAAAGCACAGAGTTGGTTTTGTTGAGGGTATAATTGCACACATCAATGCAACGGTTAGCAGAAACCGTAGATCCGAAAACGTTGACATCTGAATTCAAATTAAAGTGCATAGTAGAGGAAGAACATATAGTTTTTATAACTTGATTGTGTGAAACCGGTTTTTCAAAATAAAGTACTCTATAACATACTAATAGTACTTGAATGTCTCATCGACTAGTACTGGTTGTTTAGCATGTCTGGATGATTTATAAAATATAGAGTGTTATCTTAAACGTTTGGTTTTTGAAAAGCCAACAGCATAAAGTTTACTAAAGTTCAGGCTCTACCGCACACTACTAGCCATTTATCTGCCTGATCACTGTAATTTATCCAGTCGAAAAGTTCTCTTGTAACTTACCGCAGCGATAACTGTAACTGCCGTAAATGGTAGAAGGGACTGCAGAAAACAAGGGAAGTGCGAAATATACGGAGCACTCGAAGTAGTATTGCACCAACTTCAGTCGTAGCTTTACACTTCAACGTTAACTGCTGCTTTTTACCTCAATAAAGCAAAACATTCTCCTTCTATCATCCTGTCGGTAATTCTATACAGTAATAACTTGTTCTTTTCTGTAACTAAGCACAAAGTTATCAAGATTTTTTTTTTGATAACAATATGACAAAATCAGTGAACAAATTGAAGAATGTGGAAAAACTCCACAAGTGATGAATAGTGTTCCGTTGATTTAGGTTTACAAACAGCTTTTGAAAACAAAAAAATTCTTATTTTTATCGTTGTTATTGCTACCGATGCTATGGTTATTATTATTATTATTATTATTATTATTATTATTATTATATTATTATTATTATTATTATTATTATTATTATTATTATATTATTATTATTATTATTATTATTATTATTATTATTATTGTTATTATTATTATTATTATTATTACTATTATTATTATTATTATTATTAATATCATTATTATCATTATTATCATTATTATCATCATTACTGTTGTTATTATCATTATTATTAATATTATTATTATTGT